TAGATCCTAAGAAGGTAGAGGCGATATAAGACTAGGAATATCTAAGGAATGTAAAGGATATAAGAGCCTTCCTAGGCTTTATAAACTTCTATCGTCGATTTATACTAGATTTCTTAAGATTAGCTTTACCACTAGTGAACCTTACGAAGAAGGATTAAGTATTCCACTTTAGTAGCGCCTACTAAGATATATTTAATTAGCTAAAGGCTACCTTTATAAGCGCTCCTATACTCCACCACTTTAACCTAGAGCTACCTATTATGGTAGAGGCTAACGCCTCTAACTACGTAACGGCTAGAGTACTATCCTAGAAAGATAAGGATAGAGAGCTGTGACTAGTCGCCTACTACTCTAGGAGAATGAACCCTACTAAAGGTAACTATGAGATATATAATAAGGAGCTACTAGTGATTGTACGCTATTTCGAATAATAGAGGCCTAAACTAGAAGGTGCTGCCTTTCTTATTAAGGTGCTTAGTAATTATAAGAACCTATAGTACTTTATAATAACCAAGTAGCTAAGCCATAGACAAGCTTACTAGTTAGAGTACTTATTACGATTTTAATTTATAATCACCTATCGCCCTGGTAAGTAAGGCGAGAAGCCAGACGTGCTCACGAGACGATTATAGGACATTTTAGTATAGAAAGAAGCATGGGTAGCTCGTAATTAGACGCTATTACGCCCTAAGCTATTTAAGCCTACTATAGATCTATGGCTATTAATCACGGACAGGACGATTATATAGATCATAGATGATAAATACCTAAATAATGAGCTAATTACCGAGACGCTATAGCTCCTACAAAGTGGAGCCCATAAGTTAAAGAGAGTGACACTTAGTAAATATAAGATTAGAAATGATTGCGTATACTATCGCGATTATATAATAATACCTAATTATAATAAACTTAAGATTAAGCTTCTACGCCACGTCTATGACTTACCTATAGGCGGCCACCTGGGTAGAGGTAAGACGCTAGAGATCCTATAGTAGGAATACTATTAGCCTAAGATGTTTAAGACGGTTAAGTAATATGTGGCCTACTACCATACCTACTATAAGGCAAAGTCGTCTAGAGATAAATACCATGGTCTATTAAAGCCTCTACCTATTACGGAACGACGTTGGTAACACATCTCTATAGACTTTATAATAGACCTACTAGAGTCTAAGGGATACACGAACATTATGGTAGTAGTTAACTAGTT